AGGGGATAATCAGCTTGTACCTGCACAACTCCTCCAGTCACTCAGGAGCCAGCAGGACTCCCCATTGCAGATCCCTGCTCCTCACATCTCCAGCAGGGAGCTCTCACGTGCCCCAGTGATGCTCCAAAGGGGTTAAGCACTGCCAATTAAAGTAAAACTGAAGGAATGGCCTCCACTTCAGAGCATCTGACCTGGATTCAGAACAGACAGAATGCTGATGCTGGAATGAACTCCATTTCTGCAGCAATTCTGGGGAATACATTATGCTGTACCTCCAAGCAATCCATGAATAATGATAGCAGCCTTCAAATAGCCCAGACCTCAAACTATTTCCCACCTGTCTCCTCATCTGAATACAATTTAATTCACACATGCTGTTTGGATTTGATTTTCTGGAGGTGCAATTATTGCAGTTCTTGCTGTAATGCTGATTAAGACAATGGCCAAACTTCTCTCTCAGAACTCTCTTACAGAACAACAATGCTCTGAAAAAAGAAAAAACTAACTCAGCTGCAGATGCAAAGAAAGCAGGCTCCAGGAACAACCAACTGGAGAGAGGAAAATTGCATCCATCTGACCCATCCCTCTTGATTTTTCCCTCTTAGGAATCTACCATAAAGTTTTAAAAGCAGAGTCCCGAGAGACACAATCAAAGTGTGTCCCACAGACCTGCAGTGAAATTCCTGCCTCTGTCCAACTCTAAAGCATGAGCATTCTGAAATAGTTACATAAATAAAATCTTACAGGAAAAGACGACAATAAACAAAAATAGCACAACTGACACTGAGCCTAACTTCTGAAAAAGTCTAAATAGATTTTATTTGTTAATCTGGGATATTCTTCATTCACTGATACAGGATGAGAATAACTACAGTCAGTAGGTCACACCAACAGGACATGTATTTTCAAAATAAATTATGTTTTCTTAGACTCCATATTACAAACTATCCTTTGACATAGAAATTAAGCTATTGAAAGGTGAGTGCATTAAAATGCTATTTGAAATAAAATGTTAAGACCAGATATTTATAATCTTTATCTCCTAATTGGAACTTTTGCTTTCTTTTAGACCTTTCTGAACACTACACTCATATCAGTCCTTTTTTCCCATAATTAATTAAATGGGTCCTGATGCTCTGGAAATAAGACTTGGACTCTAAAATAACTCTAAGATCATGTAAGAAGTAAAAAAATGTACATGAAATATATCAAAATACAGAGATACATAAATCTATGCTAGATGGTAATATTTTCAGGCAGCAGTTTGTTTAAACCATGCAAAGCTTTTTCACCCTTGAGTTTGAGAGTTTATCTGCTGAATAAATCCAGTGGAGAAGAAATGGAAAGTGAAAAATAGTAAACTAATAACTCACTCCTCCTTTATGGCACTTGAATTTATTCTGTTGCTGAAAAACAACAATTTCAAATACATCCAGAGATGAAAACAAACCAATCTGCTGCACTTGTGTGCGAAACAGATATGAAGACTGATGACCTAGGTGCGCAAGGCAAGGAAATGAAATTGTGCTGCCACAGCGCCCTGGGTGACCCCACAGTGCAGAGCTGATCCTGCTCTCTTGGATCCCACCCTGCTGCAAGGAGAGGGAAGGGAACCAAACAAACTCAGCCTGAGCCATCAGCAGACCAAGGGAGCCACCTGCAGTCTGCAATCCTGAAGCAAATTCCTGGGGAGTTCAGAGGTTTCTCTTCCTTTTTCTGTTGCCAAAGCAGCGCAGGAAGCTGAGCTAGAGCAACACAGCCACACAAAACACAGAGATCCCTGCATCAGCTGAGTCCTGCTGCCTCACACCTACAGATGCAGCTGCCTCACAGGAAATCTGGCCCAGCTGGATCCACTGAAAGCCTGAAATGTTGAAGTTCTCTGATGAATTAGATCTGGGCTTCTCAGCACAGCAAATTCAAAGCCATTCTCTAAAAGTACTAATTGCTGTTCCTTGTATTTACAAGGCCCAAATGCAAATGAATGCAAAGAATTTCCTTCAAGTTGAATGGTGCACTGACCTACCATAGATTCTTTATATACACATTATTTATATACATATTCTAGACATTATTCATATAAAATCAAAACCTGAACATTTTGTTCATATTTTGCTCAATTACAGCTTACATGGAAGTTTGTCTTTTCTCTTGTCCCTTCCCACTCAAATTCCCATAATGTGGAAAATACCACTCAGCTATTAAGACCTTGCTTCAGTTTTGAAAACATATGAAAATGATTGTTGAATTGTATTTTAAAAGTGTAATTGTAAAGCAACAGAACCCTGATGGAGAAGTTTTCCCTTGAGGCAAGCTGGATGGATAATGAATTCTGCATTGGAACAATCCCAGTAGTTACAGACTATTATGTACTAATTACTACCTTTACAGACCTACTGTACACATAATTAATTTCTTCAGAGCACTACTATCATTCTTGACTGGCAAAATACACAACCTAAATTACAAGAGGCAGAAATTAACACGATCCTTTAGGGAGAAGGCATTAACTTGCTTTGCAGTGTTTTGCAATTAGACCATCAATCAAACAGTGAGGAATGATTTGGAGAGCAGCAGGCCCAGCCCTGAGCATTGTCCCAGTCCTGAGGATGGAATGTGTCACAACCTGGCTGCAAATCACAGCACTGCAGCCTTGACCTGCCCTGTTAGGAGACACTTCACACTCAATTCTATGGGATTTAACATCCCATAAATTAAACAGGAGCTTTTTAGCATCATATTCCAGCAAGCACTGAAGACATGGCAGTGCTGCTGCTGCCCTCCCTTCTGCTGGTGGCCAGAGAGAAAATTTCATATCAGGGATAAAGGCAAAGTTTGGTAAAAGAGTGATTGCCATAAAATGACCTGCTTAAATTATTTCAAAGATTTAAGTAGGTTCTTGACAAGAACACCAGTATTTTAAACTGTTAATTTCAGTTGCTGGGGTTTTAGGACATTCTACAGAATTAAACCATACACACTCCCAACTCCATGAAAAAGCAGTAGCCCAGGTTTCCTGAGATGTATAACTACACTGGGTTAACAACATTACACGCAAAAATTATTGTTCAACTTGATAACAGTATTTCTCCCCAGAAGTACCACACCCCTTCAGCTCTGGCTGCATTTCTCTAAAGCAGACAGCACTCAAACAGCAGCTGGCAGCTCAGTGACAGCAACATTGAGTCATTTCTGGAGTATCTTAAACCAAAACTATGTTACATGAGAAAAATGCATCGTGTCTTTCTCATCGTAGCAAAGAATCATGAATAGCATTCAGAGGTTTAATCAAATTTCAGCGCTACAACTTACAGGGAATCACAAAGTTTTAATAAATGCACACACTACCATTGCTTTTACTTCAGTTACCATTCCCGGTGGCATTCCAAAATTCCACAGAACACAAAACTGTAAACACTAAGTCATCCAAACTGCTTTTGGCAATTGTCAGTTTGCTTCCACTCATCCCTTTGTTTGTTTTACATGCTGACTGTGCTCCTGGGAGAATATCACATGCATTTCCATTTGGCTTTTTATCACTCTCCTGTAATGTACTCATGAAATGGGATAAAGCAAGAGGGAAATCTGATCCCAGATGATGCCCGAATTCAGCATTTGGGACATCGTGGAGCTGCTTAAGGACAAAGGGGAGGAAGAACAGTGAACATCAATCCTTGTTTCCTTTTGCAGATGGCAGCTGCAGGAAAAGTTGCTTCTGGCATGCAATTCTTTGGGTCTGTGCTGCAACCAAATGCTCCAAGAGTCTTTTTGACTTCCAGCAGGTTCTCAAGTTTAAAAAAACCTTGAAATCAGACAGACAACTCCTCCTTTCTGCAGGAGTCAGCCAAGTACAATTTTCACATCCTGAGTTCTGTGCAGCAGCATTTTTCATGTGCATCCTTTGTTATGGCATCTTATTTTCTACAGCCATTAACTGAGAACAAAACAAGGGAAAATATCTGCAAGGCCATCGGCACACCAAGCTATTGGAGGAGCTGCTGCTGTTCCCTGTTTTACAACTGTGCAACTATGTCAACAAGAATTTCTTCTCACTGCAAACTGTCAGCTATGTCAACGTTTCAAGAGGGTTTTTTCAGCATTTTTAACGAAGAAGCTTTTCAGGAATTCTGAAACATTTCTTCAGATTTCTGGTGCAAGAATTCAGCTCAAGGCAGAAGCTTGTCCTTTTCATTTAGAAGGGGCTCATGCCATTCTGTCATCTGCTGCTGGGCATTCCTTCCTGCCACACCAAAGGCAGTGACCAACTCCACAGCATTTTACCCTCCCTGCAGTGCTAGGAACCAAGAGTCAATCCAACTTGGGCATGGAAAAAAGGATAAATTACTGCAAATGATGCTTTTGAATTACTGCATGGAATAGCTGAACATTTGGACCAGAAAGTGCTTCCAAGGTGTGCTGGAAAAAGAGAATTCTAATGGTTTAAATTCACCGAGTACTGAAAGGAATATGAATCTATCTTATGAAAAACACAGCCATGACCAACTCTTTGAAGAGGTTTCAAAAGGACACAGAAAAAAAATCACATTCAGAAATAATTCAAGGAATCTACTCAAGAAATAGTTCATTACAGTCCTCTGAGAGCCCTTCCTGAATTAATCTTTTTTAACACTGTGTTAATAAGAACTGCTGTTCTTATTCCAGAAATTCTCAGCTAGGAATAATAATGCAAATAAACATGATGTTCGGATCAGAATTTAAATTTAATTATAATTCCATTAAAAGAAAACTCACATCTGTCTGCAACATACAGTGCACTTTTAAAAGGTATTATTGCAAAAAAAGTTCCTCCCCTCATGCTGTAAAGTGAAGGGGGAGCAATTCTTGTAATAGACTGTTATGCTTAATATATGTTTTAAATCATCTTCCTGCTATAAAACCATCAAATGGATTCCATGGTATTGCACAAAGCATAAAAGAAACTGCCATTACACAGTTTTAAACTTAATAAAAGCACAATAAAGAGCAAAGTAAGAATGTACCTTTCATTTGGGTTCCAAAGGTAAGTGCCAATTTCGCAAACAGCTCCGGGTCTTCAAATTTATCTTCTTCAGCTTTTACCCAAAAGCTGTTTTCTCCTATTTCTTGAGGCTCTATCTGCAAGGGAAACAGCACCTCCAGAGTCAATCAGGAGTGTTTCCAACAGCCAAGGTGAAACAAATGCTACAGAACCTCTGTGAGCACTGGGCTGAGGAAGCTCAGCCCCGTTCTGGAATGTTCCATCCCTGCTGTTCCTGCACGAGCACGGTGAGCTGAGCTGCCACAAATGGGCTTTATTGTACTTCTCCCACTCAGCAAGTTCTCCAAACAGAACTAAAAACAGCAGCTGGCTCTGAAAGCGTTCCAGCTCTCTCTAGAGAGTTCCCAAACTCTTTTCTCTGCTACCTGAGAACTGTGTGGAACAATTTACCAGGAAATGAAGTGGCCATGGGGACCTGGCAGAGACTGAGGCTGAGCTCTCTGCTGGCTGTACCAAAGCAGGAAAATGCTCTGCAATACAGAAGCTGAAAGACAACTTGACTCTTCATGTATGACTCAGAACTGCTGTTCTGTTTTCAAAATATGCTCCTCTAACAGCTTTGAGCACATTATTAATTATTGTTTATAAATTTCTTTAAATGAAAATAATTTCCAAGGGCTATTTAACTTCAAGATGATATGCAGGGAATTCAGCAATGCTGCATTTGTCAGCCTCAGTCCAATTTCCCTGCAACATCCTGGTCCTCCACCTTTCAGCCCAGCTTTACAGCAGCTCCAGGGAAGACATTTTAAAAAACTGCCTTAATCCAACACTAATGGGGAAGACAGTTACAGCAAAAGGGACTAAATTAAACAGTAAGAATTTTATTCCTCAAATGATGGCTCCTTAAAAGTGATGATCAAACAGACTTTGCACTTTCTCAGCAGGCAGGGGATCTCTGGCACTGTTCCCAGAGCACTTCAGCAAAGCGTCCATCTGCAGTTCCTTCCCATTGTCACAGCCAGTGTTCACAGACACTTCAGAAATTATTCCTACAAACTCCCCAATGGAACTGATCACAATGAAACTGGCTGCAATTACCAATATGTGTTATACAATAAAAGCTTGCTTTTCTCTGTGCTTACAGGACAGCAGTCTATGTCCCACAGTTCCAAAACTCCTGCAGAGCATCCTGATCCATCCTTTCTCCACAAGACATTTAATTCCTCCTCCCATGATGGAGAAAAGTTATCATTTATCTTTTTAGGCAATTATTTTATCAGAATTACAGAAAAAGTAAAGATTTTCAAACTGATTAATACTCTAAAACCACAGCAGGCTGTTCAATATCAGTCTACTTAAATATGGAAAGCCTGTTTTTAAACTATGGCCACCAGATATGCTTTCAGATTGTCTGAGCACATCTCCAAATATTTTGAAGTAATTTGAAATCACTGAAGCATTAATTCATCTGCCAAAAGAAACTATAAATTGGCATGCCACATATTTCCACACAGGCTCTCAACCTTCTGGATTCCTCCTCCAAGGCTGGTGGGATTATTCTGCTGTTTTGTTACCTCAAAGTCTTTTGACTACTCAGAATTGAGAGGAACCACACAGCATGGAATATATAAAAGTCCTTTCATTTGCCTTGATGATTCAGTGATTTCGGTACTTTTTCCTACACCAAACATCAACATATCTGTCATTTTTCATACCACTAAAAACTGCCAACCACAACTTTAGGATGCAATGATTTAGTCTTGACAACAGATTCAATTACCTAATACTCCACATTGATTTTCTTTATATGGAAGGAGCAGTGGCTACACTGATCAAAAAGGGGTTTTAAAACATCACACCCCAGCACACACCTGGATGTTGGTGTAATTCTCTTATTAGAGGGACTGGATATACTGAGAGACAAGGAATAACTGGCAACTGCTTTAAGGGCTCACCTGCAAATCAGATTGTGCTTGCACTTTACTGCTCAAGTAATGCTTAGATTCCAAGATGGTTTTAAAAATGAAATGTGATTAAATACAATCAAGCTAAGCCACTGGAAGCTCATGATGCCCAAACCCTTCCCTTGAGCAGCCCCATGGCTCCTCCCAGTGGCCACAGCCCTGCTCCAGCACATCACTGATTGAGAACAATAAATATCAGGGATAAATAATCAACAAGTAACACTAAGAGCAGATACCAGCAATCCCTGAACTCACAGCAACATTAAACATCAGGAATTTAAAAAGCTTAAGTTGGTTTGCTTTGCTAGTGTGTGTGAAAGCTGCTATAAAACAGTTTGAAGATAGAGGTATATTTTTATACAACTTGAGGGATGTTCACTGCAGCTGAGACAAGGCACTGGAAGTAAGCTGCCTTCCTGGGACACTGGGCACCACAATGACTGGAATTAAACTGACTTCCTGAGACACTTGGTACCAACAATGACTGGGGGTAAGCTGCCTTCCTGGGACACTGGGCACCACAATGAGCTCTGCCAAGATGAATGTGATTTAAAACATCACAACACGGTACCAAGCCTATCTGTGCAGTGCAGGAGGGGAAGGAACATCATCCCCACACCTCAGGCATACCTTGGACCAGTTGATTCTCTTCATGGACACTTCCAGCTTATACTTCTTCTTCTCCTTCATCCCGTGGGGCAGCGCTGGCACCATGGGGAAGGGGGCAAAGGGGGCCCCTCCCAGGGGGGGAGGCACTGGGGGCCCCCCAAAAGGCGGCGGGGGAGGGATTGCTGCCCCGGGCAGAGGGGGAGGAGGAGGAGGCAGCCCTGCCCCTCCAGGCAGAGGGGGGGGAGGAGGAGGCCCTGCTCCCCCGGGCAGAGGGGGAGGTGGGGGCACACCAGGCAGAGGAGGGGGAGCTGGGATGGCTGCACCGGGCAGAGGAGGAGGAGGAGGAGGAGGAAGGGATGCACCAGGTAAGGGAGGAGGAGGAGGGATTGTTGCTCCACCTGGCAGAGGAGGTGGTGGGGGAATTGTTACTCCACCTGGCAAGGGAGGTGGGGGAGGAATTGTTACTACACCAGGCAGGGGAGGGGGTGGAGGAATTGTTACTCCACCGGGTAATGGAGGAGGAGGAGGAATGGTTCCTGCACCAGGGAGGGGAGGAGGAGGAGGGATGGCTCCGCCAGGGAGGGAGGGCGCCGGAGATGGTGGGACGTTCTCACTTGGGTGGGCTGGCATTGCTGGGCCTTCTGTCAGGCCTGGACCCTGGAACAGAACAGAGGAATTCCCTCCATCAGTGACACCAGGCAGTTTGATATGAAGCTGAACCAACCAGGATGGTTTTTAGCCAACTGCATCTCAAGAAAGTGAGAAATGCAACTGTTCTCCTATTTAAATGAGAAACAATAACAATAGATTATCCCACGTACCATAAAGCTGCCGAGTAAACTGAATAACCTAGCATTTTTATCAAAACAAATTGTTTCAATTTTAAAGAAAATTTAATAGTAGCAGTAACATTTAAGTGAACAGAACAGCATTTTATTTCTTACCAATGCACAAAACATTTATCCCACTTAGGACACCCCTGCAAGCTGGGGCATCAGAGATGAGAATAACCATGGTGAATTTGAACAACACTCATCTGCTGCTGGGAGAGCTTCCCCAGCCATCAGTGCAGCAGCTGGTGCACTGGAAGAGGCCACAGGACCACATTGTTCAGAGCTACTCTGACATCTGGAGGGGTGAAGGGTGTGCAACAACCTGTCCTGCTGTCCTTTGGATCTGTCTGAGGGCGCTTCTTTGGTGAGAGGACGAAAGAGCAATCACAATATCCACTCTAATAAGTTCTTACTAATTAATAAGGAAGAGAAACAGCAGCATGTCACACCATCAGAGGGGTGAGCGCAGCTAAAAATAAGTGTCATCAAATTCTGTGGGGAGCATAACACCAGAAAAGGGAACAGACCCCAGAATTACATGGTTAATTACCCAGTGGTCAGCATTACTGTGAATGCCCTGTCATGTCTGGATAATCTGAACTGTGTTAGAATCAATAACACAGGATTAACAATTAATTAGACTAAAAGTACATTCTTTACTTTGCACAAGACACATTATGTTTGTTTGCTCACAAGTTATAATGCAACAATTGCTGGAGAACTCATTAAAACATTTGTCACATTTCAGTGGAACACTGGCTTGTAGGAATTTGTAACAAACACGAAAATTGGCAAGGAAGTAAGAACAGGAGTGTTTGAGTCTCCATCTTAGTGCCCAAATAGGAAGTGAGATCACAGGCTTTAAGGCAGAAAAAATAAAGATTAAAAGGCAGACCTTGCCTAGCATTGAAGGAATACAAAATAAGCCAGACTGAGGCAAAAGCACTAAATTCTAATATCTGTTAGTTCCTACAAGGTGTAAATGATCTGTCTAAATCATAAAGCTGGTGTAAAAAAAAAAAAAGCTTATATAAAGTGTAAGCGTAAAACCTATATATAAAACCAAAAGCCTTTAAAAATAAACACTTCCAAAACAAAAACTTACTGCAAAACATACTGGAGCAGCAATGTGAAAGCATAAACAAATAACTGAAGGAAAAAAAAAATCAGGCTGGATCCAAGATTTTTATAGTGTAAGAAACATTTTTTCTCAATAAAACAGTACCTGTGACAGGTTGAATTTTGTAAAATCTTTCCTCCATTAACTATCCTTAGTAACTTATGCTGGCTGCCAAACAAATCAATACGCCTTTACCAGACATTCCAAACTCCAGACAGACCAGTTACTCTGGTGCAATTTCTTCTCAACTCCTCCTCAAAAGAAAACCCACTCAGCTGTAGAACTTGATGTGATATAATTTTATTACCTGGGTCCGGAGCTGTTTGACTTCTGATTCAAGTTCTTTGATTTTCTCCTCTCGTTTCTGCAGCTCTGCTTGTGCCTCTTGTCGAGCTGTGAACTCTTCATCAAACTGTAAAGATTTAACCAGCACAGCAGAGTGAGTTCAGTTATGGCCACACCAGAGCCTACACTGGCAGGAATTCTTTGAACAACATCAGAGCTGCAGCAATTATGCACTTTTAATCCCTTTAGCAGAACTTTTCTATCTAGCATGTTCACTTTTAGCATCACAATTTCTGCCATCAATCAGTCAATGACAGAGAACCACCCAGACCCAGCTACTCAGGTCAGGTTCTTCCCTCCAAGAGAACACTGCGGACTTCTCAAACCAAACTCAAGTACACATCTATTGCAGTAAGCTTAAATTCATTAAAAATTGACCTGCAATCATCAATTCCAGAACATGTTCTGCCATTTTGCCTGAAAATGCCTACTTAGAGCAGCAAAAAATATCAAAATTTGGAATTATTTCACTACACACCTCCATAATACCTGAACTTCAGTACTACTGCAGCTAATATAGCACATTTATTCATTTCTTTAAGCTTACACCTATACTTAAGTTATTTAATTATGATTATTTCAGGACAGGAGAGCAACAAGTGGAATTGTGAGAGCCTCTGCTTCCCAGTTTCAGCTGGGAAACAAGCTGATTGTGTTCCTGTCATGATTCTGTTCCACACCATGAGCAGGACTTACCTTCCTGGAAAATTCTGCTGCTTTCTTTTCACTCTCTTCTACTTTAGCCTTGTCCACACACGCATCTAGAATTTAAATAAAATATCACACACAAATCAAGTCAAGCATGCCACAGCTCTGAGGTGCTTCCAGCCATCATTTCCCTGTGAGCCCATGACACAAAAGGAACAGGCACCTTTATTTTTGACCCTATCTCATTTCATTAAAGGCTACAGGATTTGGGCTGGTACTCCACCAGCACACCTGTAGCTTACATGCATATTTCCAGAATATGACAAAATTCCCAGCCAGTGTAAGTCTAAACAGAAGAACACAAAGAAAGAAAAGGTAAAACTGCTTAAAGAGTACAAACCAACAAGATGTGTAAAATTGATGTCCATCCTTCCTCTGTATTTAAAATCTGGGTCCATGCCACTGCAGTGCAGCACTATCTGAGACACACATTCTTCTATGATCTTGTAATACTGAGGTCTGAAACAGGAAACATTTACAAGACAGTAAGAACATGAACAAGACTTTCTGCAGTTGGGGAAAGGGGGCAACAAACTCCTAATATCTGAATTCTACAAGTGCCAGAAAAAGCACCAAGTTCCAACTGTTATTTGTAAATATTTTGGATGGGATGCTTCAACCTTGCTATGACACCATGCTGCACATAAGAGAAGTTCACACTGAAAAGAGCAGATTCAAGGCACAAGGGAGTATTTTCAATTCTCAGTTATACAACTTCCATGTTCTTTGAAGCAATGAATATATCAAACTTGAATAAAGAAAAAGTACCCAACAAATAAGAGGTTTTTGGGATGAGGGTGTTAAACTAAGCTTCAAGTCTTTGAAATAAACACAATTGTATTTACCAAGACCTTTGTAATACTAACATGGAACAAAAAGAAAAATAACACATCAATCTCAAAGAGTGGCTTTGTAGGCATGAGCTGCCTCAGTTTAGCAGGGTCTTAATTTCTATTTTGCCCCTACTGCCCCCAAAACCCCAGCCTGGCAGCTGCACTCACCGGACATAGTAATCGTTCCTGATCAGCAGGAAATGTTGGAGAATTGACAAGAAGTAATTTTCAGAAGAAGTATCTTTCACCATATTGTACAGCAGGTGAAATACTTCGCTCACATCAGTGCAAGCATTGTTAAGAAAATAGCAGTATTTAAAAAACCAAAATTTTAAAAATAAACAAAAGCCCAAAAAACCCCACTGCAGTCAGAACAGCCACCCCACCCAAACACAGCTCTCCAGACAGTTCCCATTTTGTTCAAGTAAAACCCCTCCACACTTTGAGCTCCTATCCTTAGCAGGAAATATTTGTCCACTAAGACTGCGCACAGAATTTGCGCCCTGTTTATCAAATAGGCAATGTTTTATAATCAATCAGAGTAATCAGCTATAGACTTTGTGGTTTAGAATCCTGTAAAAACATTTCACACAAAGCTTTGTTTCCACTCTGAGCTCAGCCAGGCTGCTGGCAAACACACACTGGGCAACCTTTGTCATTTCCTAGAGATGACCCTTGTTTGTAATTACCTGTTCTGCACAGCAACAACATTGCAGGGGATTTTACAGTCCTCCCACTGATTGCCTCTGCCTCCCTCTGCTTCCTCCTAAAACCTGCAAGCAGCCATTCTGAACTTAGGCAACTTGAAATTTCCTGCTCCTCCACAGCTAGGAAAGGCACACATCTGTAGTGCTTCAGAACCTACAAGAAATTTTGTTCCTTTTATTATCAAAACTCATTTTTCTTCAAACTTATGATCTTCCACGGCTATAATTTTATCTCTTGATGTATTATGAGACAGAGTTTAGCTTAATAAATGTTATTTATGAAAAATTAATTCAGTTCCCAATGACTTACATTTGACATGCAAATTTAAGCACTAATTATCCAAATATTTTCCAACAAAAAAAGCAACTGGAGAGAAATCTGCTTGACAAAGCCCCTGGTAAGACATACAAGTGAGACAAATAACCTGCACATAGAGCACTGTAATTTCCATTTAATAAAGTTCTGAAACAACACAAGTTAGAACAGCATTTCCTTAAAGGATATTCCATTTCAGCTTTGATGTCATTGAGACGATGTGACAGTTCAAAGTGGTCTTCATCTTTGTTCTCATCAAACACCCTCAGCTGAATATCGAGCTCTTCATTTTCCTTATCTTTCAAGGCCTGTTTTTCAAAGTAGAGTATATCTTAATTTTTCCTTTTTTAAAGCAAAAATTCCCCCCTTGAAGGACTGCACCGTGATGAAATGTAAGACATTAACCTTTAGAACAGCAACGAGATTCAACTCAGTGCCTGGGCTTTTTTATTATAATGATTCAACTGAGAAAAACTAAGGGCAAAACATCAGCTCACAGAGCAGGTATGGGCTACAGAACAAACAAGAAAACTTCCAGTTGAATTCATTTCTCTTAATGGGACACAGCAGTTGCTGCTTGGAAATGTCAGAATTCCATTACAAAACCACAATAGGTATATTTCAAAACATTAAGTGGCATGAGCTTAAGAAGTTTAAACAAGTGTAAAAAGATTTGTTCAGCCGTTCCACAGCAAATAAAGTCACTAGATCATATTAATCTATCCATATGATGTAAACCTAAAAATATCCCTAAGAAAAAGTAACATGACACATCAGAAAGTGTCTCAAGGCTGAATGAGCCAAAAATGGAAGTTTTTGTTTCTGACAAATGGACAATTTCAAATTTCTCATCTTAAAAGTCATAGCAGAATAAATTGTTTCAGACAAATATAAGCAGGTACTCCAGTTTTTCTCATCTTTTGTAAGAAAGTGATGAATACATTAAATGCACCTTTTTTTGATCTAAGCATCAGAATGGTTTCTTGGCTAAGAGTTACAAATCTCTCTCCAAGTCAGAAATATTCCTGTCTGTGCAGCTGCATGAAGACAGACATGCAGTTTCAGAATGAATTTCTGATTTGATTTTTCTTTAAAATGTCCCAATGCATTCTCAGCAGGCAGATTAAAGAAAACCAGATTTCACAGAAAACAACAGGAACAGCACATACAAAGCAAGTTAATCCAAGATTGGTTCCACAGCCAGATTCACATTGACTGCATGTGCTTTGAGCTCATTATGCAGCATTTGGCTACCCTCATTTAATTTCTAATATATTGACTTGTTTCAACTACTATTCTGCAGCTCATGGGAATCTGAATTTGTAACTCTGCAGGCTGCAGCAGATTTGGGCTGGTAATCTGACCCTCTGCACCCCCAAATCCTTCCCATCTGCTGTCCTGGTTAAACAGTTTGGTTATCTTCAGCATTCACAGTGGACAGTGACCAACTGCTGCATACAAGGGACTCACAGGCAATATTTTCTTCAGGCCACAACGTAAAAACTCATTTCTCAAGTGTATCCTGAAGTCAAGGTCCTCAGGAGATGTAACAAGGGCATTGATGAGCTGCATACATGCAACCTGCAATCAGAAACACAGAATGGAAATCAATACCTTCAGTCACTGTTTCAGTTGATTTATAAAACCAGAGATGGAAATTTATTATGCAGCACACATGCAACACTTGGGTTTATTTTAGCACCATCAAATTTTCTCTGTTTCCATATCAGGATGCTTCCACTGTATCAAAGGAGTACCACATGAATGATCATTGCAGAATAATGTCATAGACTGGTTTGAGCTGGAAGGGACCTCAAAGCCCACCCAGTGCCACCCCTGCCATGGCAGGGACACCTCCCACTGTCCCAGGCTGCTCCCAGCCCTGTCCAGTGTGGCCTGGGACACTTCCAGGGGCCTCCTCACCCTAAAATCATGCCCTAGTTATTCCCAAACTAAAGTTATTGCACCCCCTTCTGTTTCTCCTCAGCATTCGGCAGTCTGAAAGCAAACTGTTTCTACAATAACTAACACCTTAAAACCCACCCAATAAACACCCATACCCAAATTAGTCACATCACCAGGTGTTCTTTCCATTCCTGCAGAGCCCTTGTGCAAAATGCCTGGTCTCAGGGTAGTGGCTAATGCTTTAATTGAACAGCTGTGCACTTTAATTGATTTATTTGAAAACAGGTAGACAACAACACAACACCAAAAGTGCTGATCCACTTTAAAAGACGAAAATGGGACTCAAGGGAAATAGCAAGTTTGGTAAAAGATGTTAACTGCACATAGAAGTAGCTTTAGAGTAGGACAAAAAAAAATCAATAGCTGCAGAGGAAAAAAATCAGATAAAAAGCACCTTCCTGTTTTAATTACATTCACTATTTAGCTTTAATAGAACACCTTATGGAGTCTCAAATTTCTATTAAAACACCCTTTCAAAGGCACTCTCTTGATAGAGCTGCATCTTCAGATAATGCAGTATCATCATGCTTGCTTGAATGATTCTTGTTATTTTACTACTATGACATGACTTAACAAGCCAAAGCACATGTCCAATCTGAAATTAATAGAGAGAAGAGGTGCCATCTGCTCTGATTGCTTCTGCCAGAGAGACTCTGCCTTAATGGCTTGTGCTAATACATTCCCAGCAAAGAAGGATTTTGTCAGAACCACGGTAATGAGTCTTGCAATTGTGCCTTCACTGAGGGAGCAGTGAGCTTGGGGAGGAGAGCTGGCAGCACTGGGGCTGGTGGCTGTTGTTTGCCTTAAATCAACAAGGCCATGGAGTGGGAGACAACTCCAGAATGGATTCTCCAGTGATAGCACTATTAAGATTAGAACGTCATTTATAGACACTTATTGGCCATCATTAACTCATCAGCTCTGAAACAAGAGGTGCTGATGGCAAACACAGCATTAAGGCAGCTGCAGCTGATGTGGATTTGAGCCAAGACTGGAAAAAGGCATCCCAAGGATACCTGCCCTGCCTGTATTTTTCCATATCCTTCAGCCAAGGTAGCTGAAAAATAAATTGTAGTACAAAATGTGCATAATTAATGTATAATGAGAAGGCCATAAGTCAAAGTCATCCCTTATTAGGATATTCAGCCACTTGGCCTCTACGCAAAAATGGCAGCACCAAAAAACCCAACCAATCCCAACTAAAAAAAGCTCACATCTTAATGCCAACCAAAACTCTGGTAAACATAAAATATTTATCTCTATCCATGAACACACAAGCAGCAATGAACATGATCTAAGTGATGACAGTAACAACCACTGGCACAGATTATTTTATTAAAATAATTTTGGAAGCTCACTAGGTTCACCTCACCCTCAGAGAGGCACTGGTGGCTGGTGAAAGGCACACACTGAACACACAGAGAAAGGAATGCAGAGTCCTTGTTGACAAAAGTCCCAATAATATCCTGCTGCACTTCACTCATCCCAAAAGGGACCCTGCCAAAAATGGGCACACCCCGCGCTAACTCTGCCATAATTAGCATAAATCTGAATATTTAAAGGCCACAGGTACTGCTGCCTAAAGTCCCAGCACTAGGACCAGATTTTTTACCTGAACATAACACCGGGCATCCAAGGAAAGAAATATCACTAATTACTCTCTTTATACGATCAAGATTTCTTAATCCTATTTTTGGGACAGAAAGTGAGTTCCTTGGCCTCCCACCACTAACAAGTAGAAAATCCAGTACCAGTAGGCCAGTTGTATTTATTTCTCCTCTTTTACTGATGAATAGCACTAGAAGATGTGTGTGCATCACAGCTCCCCAGGCCATACACAGTGCTCAGCCTTTCCCTGAAGCACACACACACACACTGACCTGCAGCTGGATGAACTCGTGGTTCTCCAGGCCCTCCACGATCTGGGAGAAGCGTTCCTCCCTGTTGTGCCTCTCAGCAGCAGTGGTTATAGCACCTAACAGCTTGTCCAGCCTGAGAGAGAGACAGACTGTCAGGAGAGCTCAGCACAGCCAGCTCACTCCTTTCAAACATACTCAGCTCAATGCTCACACAACTCAAGGCTTAGTGCACTCACAGAGCTTAAATGCATTTATCTACACACAGTTGAAAACAACCCAAGAACAAGTGTTATAAATGTCTATAAGATTAATGTTGAAATAGAAAAAAGGGGAGACTAAATGTCTATATTATTATTTCAGCAATGAAACAACCAATGAGGGGGAAAAATCCCTCCCTTTGCAAACTGTGCACTTGATAGCAGTGGACATGTTTAACATCTGGAAATTCTAATAAACTGTCCTTTCAGGAATCAGAACGTTTTAATCCATTTATTGCATAGAAGACATGAAGTTTGCCCATTTTAACCTTCACTAAATAAACACAGTGGGAAATTTACAGGAAACATATGCCAAGTGATCATCTTTGTTTTAAAAATCTAATGGGCAAGTGCTAAATAACTCCAAGTTGAACTGTTCCAAAGCCCAGCTGTAAATCTGTAAATGGAAACTCCTGGTTCCTGTGGTAGAGGTGATTTGTCCTTTCACACCTTCCACTTCAGCCACACTGTGCAGGTCTCTGCTCATTTGCTTTTCTCTGATTTAGTACTGAATTAGGGCAACAGGTAAAGGCTCTTCAATTTTAAATCACATTAAAGACTTAACAGGTTACACTTGTTTCACTGATAACTTTTCTCACCTGTGTCCAAACTAACAACTCATAAGCACCAAAAAAAGCATCAATATCTGACTTACATGTTTTCCTCCCCAACAATGCAGATGGCAGAAAGGATTTTCACTGTCTCAGTCATCATGTGGGGTTGCTTTGGATCAATTGCTCTTGACAGCAGCAAGAGGCTCCTTTCATCTCCTAGGATCCTTTGCAAACCATACTGGCAGAAACAAAAAGCTCTTGGTGAAAAGGTTGTGCTTGACTTGGAAATTCATCCCCAACTTGAGATCCTGAGGGATTCTCCCAGCCCCTCCCTCCCAGAGGGGTTTGGCAGCAACTCCACCAAACTCCCCCAACGCCCTGGCCATCACTGCTTGGGGACACAGCAATGGGTCCCCAGAATGCATTTGAGGCTTTCTCCTGAGACAGTCAGCTCCTCAGGACCTTGTAAAATCAGTACCCACCAAAAGACAAGTCAGGTTTTATTTTCTGTCTATACCTGAAACACCTCTGAAGTATGAAAACACTGCTTTTCTCCCTTTCATTTCTAAAATGACCAAAAGTAATTATAAGTAACTTTTATGCAGTTTTATTTGCTGGGGAAGATACACAAATATAAGACTTCAGATTTTGCTATGAATAAAGTAAAATTAAAAGTTTCACACATCAGCTTCTGGAAGGTACTCAGTCTGTTAACCTGAGTAACCTGTGTTAGAAACAAATCAGATACAACTTAACCTAACCCCTTACTCATGACCTAACTTAAAAACTGCAGCTTACAAGAGATCAAATGCTACTCAATTTAAATCAGGTAAAAAGTACATTATATTAACAAACGTATTGAAATCTGAACTTGGAAAGCTTTTTTTTTTAAGCTTCCAAGTAATTAATTTCCAAATTTACTTACCTTAAATTTATACTATCATCCTCTCTTTATCAAATATTTTACTTCCAAAAATCAATAATATTTAACACAACTAAGAAAAAATGCAGAAAGGTTCATGAGGAAGACTCTCAACAGAAGTTACACGAAGTTTAAGACCTGCATTCCCAAAGAGTTAAATACTGGATATACAAGCTTTCCTTGCCGCTCCATCATTTAATATGTTATATACATGTTAAACTCAACAAAACCCAAACATGATAAAGTATGTGAATTTAAAATAACACTTACTTTATTGTTCATAAATGCTTTGAGGCACTGGATAAGTTTATGTTGATTCTTCTTATCAATACTTTCTTGCCTGGAAAGGAAAGAAGAAAATCACATAAGGAAAATCCTCACAACTTCCCCATCCCTCCCTTCAAAGGTCCAGGTCCTTACTGTTTCTTGTCCAGAAGCTTTTCCAACGCATCCAACAGGAGCCCAAGACCTTCATGTCCAAAATTGTTAACCCAGCTGGAGAAAAAACACAATGAAAAAAGCTTTTAATTATTTCTTAATCAAATGCAGAACTTGCAAAGCTATTTCTCTGTTACTGCTTTTGCATCCCCTCACAGGCTCCACTCTTGTCTCACTTCCCAAAAGATCTGATCAGCCATGAAGGCAAACAGCTCCAACAAGTACAAACTGCTGAAAGCCACAGAGAAAGGTGAGGAGATGCTGCAGACAGCTGCAAACACATCACTGCTCAGACCCAGGGTGCTGAGAACACTGCTCTCCTGTCAACAAGCATTAGCACAACGACTCTGCTTCCCAAAAAACCCCAAAGCCCACAACTCCTGCTCAGCAAAAACAGCATGATGAAAACTCCCGCAGAAATTGCTCGGCTTACCTGACTGGGTTGCTGGTTAGAGACACTCTCAAAGACTCCAGGCAATTAAGAAGTTTCTCATCTGAAATTCCAGACCGCAGCTCATGGATGTATTCTTGTGAGGACAGGGTACATTCGTGCTTGCTGTTTTTGAGTCCCCCCTAGCACAGAAGGCAGAATGCTGCTGAGTGTTCCAGTGATCAAACAGTGCTCAGATGATAAAATAGAGGACTAATATTTCCACAGGAATTTCCAAATCACAGTACAAGTACTCAAGACAGTTGATTTGACTTGGATTTGTCATCAGTGTTTAATACTTTTGGTTTTACATCACAAGGATAATTATTTTTGCTGGAATCTTTTTCACTTTGAGTCAAAGTGCATGTACTACAAACAGAATAGAAAAATTTAATTCCATCATTCAGCTGTATTAACATATGTAATGAGAGTATATTGGAAACAATCATTAAGAGAGACACACAAAAAACCCAGTTCATGCAACTTCCTGAGCCAATTTTTTGCTGTACCATAGTTCCTGTTTGACCCCTAATAGAGATCTCTAGAGCATCTTGTCTGCTGCAAAAAAAATCATACAAGAGATTTGACAAAGAGCTCCCTCCTGCTGAAGTGCCACTACACAAGAATAACTACTTACACAGTATTTCACTATTAAATACCTGAATATCAGTTTTTAGAGCTAGAGTATTCAAACTCTTGAACAAGACAAAACACTTTTCCAAAAGGTGCAACTAATCTTTTGTACAGCTCTGACAAGTCGCAGCAGGCTTATCTCAGAAGAGTGGTTTTGATTCATTTGCAGCTCCTAAAGCTCCTTAGCTCTGAAGGGTCTGTTGAAGAGAGCCTGATAAAGATGTCATGGGTGCAGAGGCAGTATCAAGTGCCTGTCCTAGAAGAGGATTTATATGCATTTGGTTGTAATTGTATCACTTCCACCACAAATATTCCATTTTTGTCTCTCTTTCACAAAGCTCCACTTCTTATGAAGCTGCTGCTTTGCTCTCTTCAAATTCTTACCATTCATTTTCCAAAAATGCACAAAGTATGGCTGATGGCAAAACGACTTGGCTAAATTTAAATTAATGACTTTGACCTAGGCAGATTCCGGGCACAAACCAGGACTGTGCTCACAATACACTTTCAGATTCAGAACAAAACCAGGACAGACTGACTGCAGCGAGACATCAGGCTCCTCTGCACTGTGTCAGCTTTGAAGCTGCTCCTTGCTGACATGCAAAGCACCTTCAGCTGGGCATCACATCAAAGGACCGAGGCAAAGATGAGTAAGAAGGATAAAATGGGACTAGAATCAGTCTCCATCAACATCCTAAACAAAGAGATGCTCTTCCACCAAAAGAAAAAGGAATAAATGGGTGGGGTTATATTTATAGGAGTAGGAGCTGATTGTAAATCAGATTAACATATCAAATATCATCAAAATTCAGAAGAATCATCACTCTGAAGGACCATTAGGTAAAGAACTAGGAAAAAGGAACAGCTTTACATTGGATGGATGGGAATCAGAAAAGATTTTATGTGTAACTAATGCACATCATCTCCACAGTACAGATCCAACTGGGCACAAATGTTGTCGTTTCAGCCATTCCCCAAATGGAGAAGAGAACAGAAATGCTGCTGAGAGCCACCAAACGTACAGAGATGAGGCAATGGCAATGTCAGTCGGTGCCACTGCCTGTTAAGCTGGACCCTGAACAGCTCTCTGGAATGCAAGGCAGGGCTTCCCCCAAGAGATGAGCTTGCCCTTCCCCTGCAGCCTGCTGCCAGCTCCACAGGAGACTCCAGCTCACACTGGGGCCACCTGAAGTCTTTGCTGCTCTTTGTTTCATATTTAAACCAAGGTGGGATCCTGCTGCCTCCTCCTTCTGTGCCATCCAGGCCACTGGTGAAGCACCTCTGCTCTGCCTAGCCCCTTGTTTTCAGAAGACCCATGACTCTCAAAAATAGATCAATAGTTCAAAAAGAGCTGGCAGTGTGCTCTGCTAAGGCTCCTTCCCATGGCTTCCAGGACAGACACATTTCTTCATTGGTTCTTTAAAAAGCACCTTTAACTGGACAGCAATGAGGAACCAACTCCTCTTCCTCATTTTCTTCCTCCTTCAAAATGGATGGTCACTCAAGACAGTTCATAAAAATCCATTCTTGAAATCTTCCAGAGAATTTTCAGCTTACCAGGATTACTTAGTTATTCCCTGCAATCAATGTCTCAGTCTCAATCCACTTCACCTCTAGCCATGCTAACTTGAATGCTGAACCAGGTCCTACTTCTTTTATTTCCCTAGTCAAAAAGAGTTTGACTGGGATACTATTTTTAAGAATTTCTATGCCTTTATATGGATCAGATTTTGATACAAACATTTCTCATTTACTTTGAGATGTAAGGCCTCAGTGAAAAATGTTTACAGGAGAACACCTAATAAAGATGGAAGCAAAAGGGAAGTAGAAAGAAACTGAAGAGGGCTGGGTCCCACATCAGAATGTTCAGAGATTAATCCAATGCTCAAGAATGAAAATCTTAGAAATTCCTTTCTGACTGGTCACCTTCAGTGTTACAATTAAGGCAGAGGAAGATTCCCTGGTGCCAACTCAAATAGAGCCTGCACCACACAGCAGTCCCAGCAGTGCTGAGGGTCCCATGGAAAATTCAATTAAGTTCAAGCTCCCAATTTCCCATGAGCAGGGAAACCTTTTCTCTGCCATCTGTACAAGCCAACAGCACTAATGGGAACACCCCAAAATTCCTCCCTGATCACGGCGGATCTGTTAATCCTGAGGGGAACAGCTCCCTGTGCTGGCAGCAGCAAACAGGGCCCAAAGGATGAACCCTGGAGGAGGCACACAGAGGTGCAAGAGCTCTTCAGGCAATGATATGCAAAGCCGTACACCAGGCACAGCATTTCTGATTTTAGTATCTAGCAAGTTATTTGCACAAAAACATGTTTTTAATGCAGAGCTGTTCTTGCTCTCTGTCAGACCCTGAACCCAAAGGCATTGGGGAGAAAACAGCTTAGAATTTCTCCTCTACCCATTGTGGGAGTATCAGCTTGCTTTATAAAATAATCTCACAAAGCAGCTCTTCAGGCTAATTCACACCAAAAGGAAATTACACAGCAGCAGGGATTTTTTGAAACTGGTTTTAACACACTGAGCTGGAAAATTAATAATTTGTCCCCTCAAATATCAAATACCTTTAAATACACAAGCACAATGAAGATATTTTCCTCAATTAGGGTAAGAACCAATAGTGTGCACAAAACTAAAAAGTACAGGTGAACACAAAAGTCTCTTTAAAGGTCATTATGAATATAACAAAGCCAAGAGCAAAATATACAAGGATATAGTGTGAAGGAGAGAAACCTAACTACATCTGAGGCCATGATTAGGCAGTTTCAAGTCATAGATTGTTCTCTATTACTTCTACTACAGAATTTAATTACTGAATATAACCTAAGTAGAAAGCCTGGCTGTACCTGAAAATAAAGTCCATCCATAATTTAAAAGAACATTTTTGCTTTCAACCACTATTTTAAATCCATATGTAATTATTCCCAAAAAATCCTACATACTGGGAAGCAAAAACTTGCTGAACTCCCTCCAACAAATGAAATTCCAAATATTTGGCTATAATATTTGAATTCAATCAAAACAACATAAAATGTAGATGAGTCCTTAATAAGAGAAAAGTTATGCTTTCAGTGATCTTATCTTAAACATATTGACCTCCTGGATCCTCCAAATTAATCTTATTGTCACATTGATCTGCTGAAGTTGGCATTTCCAAGACAAGCCATGAATAACAACAATTAGAACATAAAAAATTCCCCATCTAAACAGAATGAAGTTAAATCTTGTCAATTTTAAATTTCAAGTGTCTGCCTTCAATAAAAGCAAGACAAGCTTAAATTGTATTTGTTGCTCACAGTGAAGAGATGAGCTCAGTGAGTTTGAAGTATTTGGAAACAGACTCCTGAAAACTTGAAGAAATCAAAAGTGTAAGCAATGATATCATACTGGTAAGAGCAACATGACTGAAGTGGTTGACAATTATTTTGATAAAACAAGGGTTTAGTTGTGCCCACTGAACTTTTAAAACCCAGATAAAAGTCCAAACTATTCCAGCCTAATTCTAAAAAGGGAAGTTCATAAGAGAAAACAAAACTCTCGTGTTCGTACTCACCGGAACTTTACTTCCGACTATCTGCATGCAGTGGTCAGCCAAGAGAGGTTATTGTGTAAAAAAGATAATAATAATACATAAATAAACACAGCACAGCACTTAGTAGGATGCAGTTGCACACACATTTTTCAGTGTTTAATCATTAGTAGTAGTAACATTCTCTTATTACTTTATCAACCTGTTTAGGGGTTAGAGCTTCTCTACAGGAAAAAGCTCAAATGCTACTTCTCTGCATTTGAGCTCTACAGCAGGAGCATCAATTTCAAATTCTTATGTTTTGCTGCTGAATCCTCAGTATTTGACACATTTACCTACAAATAACTGAATACCTGTCTTGACAGCTACATCTTGAAAGATTAAAAATGCCATTTGTTGAAATTATCAGGTCAGATATTCTACATATGACACTGAGAACAGTAATGGCATACTGACTTCCTTGTATGTATAACAACTGCTTTTATTATGGAGCTTTTGATCTGTTTAGATGATGTCACCACTGAATTTAATTAAGTTTTTGTAATCAAAAACATAGCCTACAGTTATAACTCCAACTTGCATTTCAGAAAATCTCACATGACATTTTTATTCAACTGCTCGGTATGGATGCTTTTAATTACATGGATAATTAAACAGTGATTTTCAGAATGCCATCTCCTCTTTACCATGGAACAGCATCTCTCTATATTCATGAGCAAAAAGGTGACTTTCCCCAGGGGAAAGTGCAGGCAGGCAGCACATCTGTGCCCTGTTCTGCCACCCTGCACAAATGCCCACAACGCTGGGAGCACATGGACATCTGCTCCAGCAGGGCAGCCTCTGTGCTCAGCTCAGCTCACCTGCTGCCAGCTCACTGCACAGCCACCTTCCTCTGAGCACCACTGCTCTGCTCAGCCTCCCCCTGCTTCATTTTCTACTGTTTCTGTTCCATTTTTCCTTTAGGGACTCTTTCAGAACACAAGTCCCTGCAAGTGTCTCACAATCAACACTTCTCTTCCTGAAGACGTTTCCCCTAGAAGCACAGAAGGGATTGCCATCAGCAGACAATCTCCTCTCCTAATCTATTATCTTCTCCTCTCACCAATGTTCAACTAGTCAGTACAGCACAAAATGTCACCAGGGTCAGTTGTGGAACAGAATCTCAATCCTTCACCAGTTCTCAGGTATCATTTCCATGGTCAACAATCTTTCTCTTCAAGTGAGAGAAGGAATGAGAAGCACAGAAAATCACTTCCCATGAAAGCATCCAGCTCATCAGCTCCTACATGTCCTAGAAAAACTTTCTTCACCCAGTGAAACCCAAAGTTCCTCTCTCAGAGCTCTGAAGACAAGTGTTTCAGAAAAGCATGGTCAACATGCTGCAGACAGCATACAGGCAGAGAAAATGAAGCACCAAATTGAAAATAATCTGGTTAAGACAACATCAGCAAATGAGAGTGATATTTTACATGAAGGGAGGGAGCTAAAAAGCCTAATTAAAACAAACATGAAATGAACTGCAAGAAAAGTGACATCAACTGTTAAATGTGTTTTGTGAGCTCTAAGCAGAAGGTCCAAGTGTAAAAAGGGAAGACATAATTATCTGTGACAAAAGAAAAAGGTAGAAAATTTAAAGACAGATCATTTTGAATGCAACCAGCATTTTCATGGAAGACAATCCTGAAGAAAGGAAAGTTTGACAATTCATGATGCAGTGAAGATTGAGTAGGGCTTGAATTCATTGAGCAGAGTAGTAGTTGCACTGAACAGAAGATGAAATCACAAGTGAAAATGAGGTTTGGCGCCACCATAAGATCCCAATCAACATTTTAAAATTAACCACTGTATTTTAATTTCTTTTTTTTAACAATCAAGATGCTAGCTATTTAGAAGTTAAATTAGGATAACACAACAGAAAGGTAATGTGTATTTCTGGAAGATTCCATTCAAATGCTGTGATTCAATTGCAAGGAGGACATACTGAAGCACACAAACTTTACCATGAGTTGTTTTTCCTCTAGGAAAAACACTTTGCAATGTGTAAAACAGCCACACTGGTGCTGACTTTAGCCCAAAGTGCACAATCATGTACAAGAACCTTTTAGGATGACTTGGTTTTAAATTATTAGTACATTTAGGCAAATGTCTTCCCAGTTCTGTTACGTTTCCCATGCTGCAGCAGACATGGGGGGCAATGCAATGCATGAACATTTCAGCAGTGAGCCATGCAATGGTAGCCATGCTTTCCTTACTCAGCTGCATTTCAGTTGCAGTGTACATGACAGACATCACCATTGTTCAACTGCATTTTGGGGAAAAAATGCAAATACTTCCATTTCTACTTCCACTTTCTACTGTTTCACTAAAGTATTTCTGCACACTAAGAAAAATTCCAGATTTAATATTGATCGTCAAGTGAAGATAAAAACCTTACAAAGCATAATTAACAGTTCCCAAAGACAGTCTAGTTCATAGTTCATAACATTCACTGCCTAAGCGTGAATAATTCTCCAGTAATTTGTACATTTAGTTGGACCATGCTTAAAGCACTGGATTCCTTCCAGCACACACTAAAGGACTGTGGATTTTCTTTAAGATGAACTCATGCAGGAACATCACTCCTCTCAGAGCTTAAATCCCCACTTTCATTACCATTTCATCACCATTATAACACAAACTTCTCCTCACTGAAGTTTATAATGTTTCAGGCAAGGCATTTGCATAATATTTGCATGTCATTGTCATCTTAATTTTTGAAATTGAACTCTGCAGAGGTGATTTCAAGGTTAACAAGTCAACTGTACTTCTTGCAGTCTATGCTTAAGGATTCCTTAGCCAGACACCAACATAATCTTTACTTACTTCTATATTTGCCACAGTCAACTTTTAACACACACAAAGCATTGCTGCTCTATTTTATAACTAATTAGTACAAAAGTTCAACTGCAGAAAATAAACTGCAGCTCTTCACTACTTGAAATTTTATTTTTCTACCCCAAAAATGTTGGTGTATCCAGTCTTCAATTTCCTTACACTTCTTGCAAAGAAGACATACTTCAAAAATTCTATATGAAGAGTTAATCAATTAAATTACAGAGAATAGTCAACATCAGTGAAAAGTCAAAACATTTTTCCTATTCAAAATGTAATTTGGAACTGGATTAAAGACCATCCTTTCACTAAAAATGTCTAGCACATGCATTGCTACTGAAACCACAAAGAAACTCTGGGTACCAAAAATTTCTAAGATGAATTGCACATAAATATGCTCAGGTTCCATCCATGACTCCACATCATTGGATTTGCAATTTCTTATGGTTTCCAAGAAAGGACCAAGTTTTGACATTGCCCAGAAACGCAAATGCAAACTGACTGCTCAGATGCAGCTGCCAGCATTCACAAGTGTGTTAGCAAGTACACATTTATTTTTTCCTACCACTCTGAGATAAATCCAGACAAAAAAATTCAAGTCTCAAGCTTGAAAAGGCCAAGACTCCAAGCCAGGCTCCTTCCTGAGAGGAGTACTTACGGATTTGGCAGTTGCAGAAATGTACTGGACAACCATCTCACGTTTGGTGCTCAGGTCTTTGTCTCGTAAAGGAGCTTTACGTTCCTCGTTCAGGTTCATGTCCTCCTGAAAGAACCAGGGCACACAACATCAGGAACACAGCTCAGGATTTTCAGTAGTCTTCATTCTTTTTAAGCTACTTTTGTTAAACAATTAATTTTCAAACAAACAGAAGTGACTTTTTCCTGTTTATCTGTGTTTGATTTTGCCCTATCTGATTTTCTCATTTAAATCTGTCCCCTCAAGTGTTCATTGTTTTTGAGACTTACTCAAAATCTAAACTGAATCAAAGGGAGTTAACATCTGTAAAATTTGGCTCAAGAAGTAAAACTAGAGGACAAGCACAACAATTCTACATCTCAAGTTGATGCAGAAGTGCCAACTCTTGTGATGTTCCTGTGTTTGCAGTGAAATCTTATCCCAGTGGACACCATTCCTGCACTATCTAATCAAAGGCTGTTATTACATGGATTAGTAGCTTGTGGAAGGGATAGCGCTCAAACTGTTCCAACTGATGTATTTAAAACAAGCCTAAAAGTCAAAATGCTCTGCTAGATTAAATCTATTAGGACACTTCTTTTAACTTGATAACTGATTAAATACAATGCAGTCATTAGCAGTCATGACTAGGCTTGCCATTAAAAGTCAAAGGAATTTCAGACTGGCACCTCAGAGCAGTCAATGCTCTGCAATCACAACTGGTGAGCAGCCTTGTCACAGAACTTCAGTGTGTGTGAGACAGACCCATTGTCTGCTTCAATTACCATTACTTGGAAAAGTTAAAAACTAACCCCTTAACAAGCAAATCAAGCAAGAGTTAATTAACACTTATCCAATCCTTCAAAAGACATTCACAGCTCCACTGAACAGAGCAGAGCTGCCCAGTGGAACAGGGCAGTTCTCCCCACACCACATCTTACCATCATTTTCTCAAAGAGATCCATAACTTCTTTCTCTGATAAGTTCATGCAGCGCTCATCAACAAGTGCCTGGGCATGTGGGATCTCACTGATGGAAGGCTGGGAGTCAATGGGATGCTGAATGAGAGGCTTCTCTTTCTTCACAGCTGATTTCCTGAAGCTTGTGATTCTGTCACGCTGCAAAGACATCCCAAAATATGCAGAAATAGAGAGAAAAGCAGCCAGTTGGATGGCAGCAATGCACGTGTTTTTAGTTAATTCAAGCAGCAGAGTTAAACTGAACTGTAAGTAAAAATACTCTAATATTTAGAGATTACTTTGCACAGAAAGGCAATAACATATAAGGTAAACTCATGACAAGTCACATGCAAAAGGGATTTAAATAATTCTCACTGATCCAAAATTGCACCAGCTAGGTTAAACTCCTAGCACTTCAAAATCTTCAGCTCATTTTCTCCCATTACTAATTATCCTGACAGCGAATAAATATGGTACCACAAAGGTAATGCCCACTGTCCCTTCACCCAAAGGGCTACAAGTCTTTGGAGGACAACTGAAAAAGGCAGCGTGGGGAAGGAGGTACTCACAAGTTCATCAGGCTTATAAAACATCCTGCTGGAGTAAAATAAAGTTTGTAGAGGCATTAATACTCCAAGCATAGTTCCTAAGCCCCTGAAGAGTTTTTGAGGAGGAACTGGTGGAATTAGTGCTGAGCTTTAGGAAGGCAGTGAAGGGTTGCTCCCACAGCAGCAGCGCCAGGGTTAACACACGGCCAGGCACTGCCAGGGCTCTGGGTTAGGGCTGGCACCAAGCCCCACTCCTGGGCTGCAGGCATGCTCAGCTATGGGTTAATGTTGGAAATAACCAGCACCTTCCTTATAAGGCCATTTCTGTTGTATTTATAACATAGAACTCTATTCTGAAAAAAAGTCTGAATTTTTTGATTTAATATCTTTATTTTTTATATATATAAATATATATGTTCGATTTGAGAACATCATGCATACAGCAATTTTCCTCAAAGAACTGTTTGCATTCACAAACAGCCCTGTATTTGTTTCAGACACTCAACAGCCTTATGAAGATGTGCTTTCATCTAACAGCAGCTTATGTAGGGTTACCAGGATCACTCAGAGCAGTCACTGTCATCTCCACCAAAACATGAAAACCAAAATTTATACTGGCTACAACAAAACGACATCTCTGAGGTCTGAAATGTCTGATGGAGACAGACTTTGTTTGCAAAAGTTTTGATTCATTTTAGTCCAGAGTGGAGACACTAGAGTGAGAGCTGTGGAGTATGAAGAAGAAAGATTATTTTTCTGTTGCTTTGTTTCTTTTTATTCATTTTTGTTGTTCATTGTTTTTGTTGTTATTGTTGAGATCCTATGAGATTACCTTAAATCTCTGAAGGAAAGTGTCCCTAGATAAGCTGCATTCCCTTTGAACTTCTTTTGAACTTTTTTTTGAGGTTTTCTTCCTTAGATATTTTTATATTTGTGGACAGAAGCACAATACCTATAAGGATACAGTTAATGCCTTTGACAAAGCAAGAACATTAATCAATTTTCTACTTATTAGAATAGTTTAAATTACACTTTTGGAAACTAAAATTAGGGCATAGCCTAGTGAAAAGCCAAGGATATGACAGTGCCTGAAATGCAGTTTTATATTGACCATTCAACAGTCACAAAAAGTCATTTAAGATCCAATTGCACCACACTTCATCTGTTTCAGGTGTAACTTATTAACACCAAATTTGCTCAATTAGATTGCACCGGTGAGATCACTGGAAAGACACAAAGGAATCTCCTGTGTGATTTCCAGGCACCATTTCCTCATTTCAGATGTGCAGACAATCATTAACTAAAGAACCAGTCTGGCTTTATTTTGTATATATATATAATACAAGGCAGTAATTTTAATGAAATCAATTTTCTGAAAAAATACTTTGGAAGGAGTTTCAAAGAATTCAGCTTTATCAAGTTAGTGCTACTGAGCACACACTTGTTCCTTGGCATTCAGTGGACATTTATTACCCAAAAGGGTTCCACTTGAATCATGTGGCAACCAGCTTTGAAGAGGCACTGCAGCCCATTCACTGGTAAAGAGAAGGTCAAGAGAAATTACACTTCAGCTGTTGAGCAACAGTTTCAACATAGCCACAGTATTACTGAAGTATTTCAAATGTGCTTAAGCAAGTTTCTCCAAATAGAAATCATGATTAATCTTCTTCAACTGAAGCCAAAAATTAAGATCTTTAGGAATAGTCACTCAACTTTCTGAAATCTAATGTTTAATATCCTTATAAGAATGTTCTTTTGTCCACAACATTGAGTAAAGTAGCATGCAGCGTGGAGTTACCATTGCAAATTAAGATGCTACAAAGACCTTACCACATCATCTGCCAAAGTTTTTATTTGAATATTCTATTAAAAAAACAAAAAACAACACACACAAATCAAAGAAAAAAAGACAGCGTTACCTACTGCTTCAGAATAAAGGAGTCCGTTTCATGTAACTTAACATTAAAAAGCATTTGAAATTTCACTATGGGTTCTAAAAAACTGCAGGCAAATGGACAAGAAATGTCCATTTTTTTTTTTGTGAAAAAGCAAGCTTGCATCCCATTGCACCCCATCCTGAGGGTATGGAATTGATGCCCCCGAAGCCCCAGTGCTGCCCAAAGGAGCAGCCAGGGCTCCCGGCAGGGTTTGCACAACAAACCCAGACTGTGCAGGGCCAGCAGTGCATCAGCAGCACCACGGGGCTGTGAGCTCAGAGCTCTGCCCAGGCTGTGCCCATTGCACCGCATCCTGTGGCTATGGAATTGATGCCCCCGAAGCCCCAGAGGTGCCCAAAGGAGCAGCCAGGCTGTGCCCATTGCACCCCATCCTGAGGGTATGGAATTGATGCCCCCGAAGCCCCAGTGCTGCCCAAAGGAGCAGCCAGGCTGTGCCCATTGCACCCCATCCTGAGGGTATGGAATTGATGCCCCCGAAGCCCCAGTGCTGCCCAAAGGAGCAGCCAGGCTGTGCCCATTGCACCCCATCCTGTGGCTATGGAATTGATGCCCCCGAAGCCCCAGAGGTGCCCAAAGGAGCAGCCAGGCTGTGCCCATTGCACCCCATCCTGTGGGTATGGAATTGATGCCCCCGAAGCCCCAGAGGTGCCCAAAGGAGCAGCCAGGGCTCCTGGCAGGGCTCCCACAACAAACCCAGACTGTGCAGGGCCAGCAGCACTCGGGGCTGTGAGCTCAGAGCTCTGCCCAGGCTGTGCCCACAGCCCTGCAGCCTCTGCCAACTGTGCTGGCCACTGAGTCACGGCAGCCCGGAGAGGAACTGGCTCGAGTCGCTGAAGTGATGATGCACAAACCACCCTCCCTCCCTCCCTCCCTTGTCACTTCTTCCTGAGCAGGAAAATCCTGCTGACAGCAATCACCAGCGTTACACTTTTATTCATGGCCAAAAAAGCCACCCATACTGCACACCAATATCAACAGTCATTATTGAGGAAACATTTGGATCATGAACCTTGATCAGCTGACACAAAGCAGCCATGAAAGGAGTTCAGGTCTAGACCTCATGGGGGACAGAATTTGAGAAGCATTCAGAAGTCCGTGGGACAGTGGAGAGGACTGAGCCCAGCTCACGGGTCAGTCCCCATTCATTCCATCCCAGCAGGATCATGGAGCCAATCAAAAGTACAAAAGCAAGAAACACTTGATGGGTGAGATATAAAGATAATGTAATAACTGATGGGAATAAAGAAAATAAAGAAACAAATAAAAAAGCCATCATTTGGCACCAGCAGGCCACTGTGTACCCAGTTTCTGAGCACCTGATGAATTGGAAAACTGCTCCTCCTCGCCCTGCAGCCCTGCCTTTACTGCCCAGCAGGATGTAAAACGTTTTGGAATGTCTTTGGTCACTGTGGATGAGCTGTCCCAGCTGTGTCTGCACCTCCAGGCTACCCACCCTGCTCCTGGATGGAGCTCACAAGAAGCAGAAATCCTGCAGACTGGGAAGGGCTGTTCAGCAAGAGCTGAAGCACCGGGGGGTTCTTTCTGTCTGTGCTGCTTTGGACACAAACCTAGGGCACAGCACCAGATGGGCTGTTCTGAACCAGCTCCACCTGAGCCTGACACACATCTGCACATCCAGATGTTGAGACCAACCTTTCACCTTCCAAACTGCCACATCTTAACACCCTTCCTTACACCTCCCCTGTATTTCCCTCACCTGGGCTTATAATTCATAAATATGGAATTTATCGTTTTGAAATCAAAACTAAGATGTGCACTTACCACTCTGGCAAATAAGCCTTTTAATTGAGACTGCAGAGAAAAATGAAGTAAAGCCTGACCCCATTTTTAATAAAGAGACAGCCAGGCAAGCAAGAAGTTCTGAAACTCCACATACATTTTAGGAACTACTTGTATGAGAACATTTTTTCCCCTTCTCATTTAAGTACTGTCAATCTCTGCCAGAAGCTGGAACAGGATCATCTACCCCATCTCTACACTTATATTGCATTTGTCACTCAAACTCCTCTGGGCAAAGTACAGAATACTAAAACAAGATAGCACACTGCATTTTTTCAGACCCAGATTTCCGTCTGGTGCACAACTCCACTGCTGCCAGCAGCCACTCGAGATAAGCAGCACATCTAACAGGTAGCAGAGACACTGCAAGGAGCTGCAGGCAAAGCCAAGGCACTTCTGCACCTAGATCCTCACAGCATTTGACAATCTCTTGTGCTAACAAAGAAATTGCACTTGCAGGCTGATTTCAGAACATAACCCAAAAGTAGTTTACCTCCCTAGAAGGAAATTTAAGATATTGTAGATTCTGTAGTCCTCCAGCATTATTCTTTCTGCCATCTATGAGGCAGCCAGAGCAACACAAGACAGAAAAATCTGCACTTTCCTGGCTTGTTACAGACACTGAGTCCCTGTTTTGCAGGAGCAGCCCAAGGGAAAAGGCTTCACAAAAATCCCTGGGGAAACACTTGCAGATAAGGGATATCAAATTAACATTTATATCTAAAACACATATACAATTTAGGGCAGCTGAAGATCATCTCTCTCTCCTAGTTAAAATATCAACACAAAGCACAGAATTTCTTCAGCATCTATACCAGAGAACCACTTCCTACTCATTTACTTAGTTCTGTACTTAATAGATTGAAGTGATAGAGCTTCTTCCTTTCAAACAGCCTTTCCAGTCCATCAACAGTTAATATCATTTTCTAGTCCCTCTTCCCAGTCTGAGTTTACTCTGTGCATCTGGCTACTTTTATAAGCACAGACAGATCATGACAGAAAATCACACGAAAATAATAGCATATACTAATGCACCTGCACCAGACAATTCTTTATCTCAAAAGGTCTCAGCCAAGTTAATATTCAGAGTAATTGAAATCTTGCACATGAAAACAGTAGAAAGATATTTGTGGATCACTACATTTCCTGATGCAGAAATCAGTGCATCCTCATGCAAACAAGGCAGGCAGCAACAATGTCACATCCACAGAACTCAATCACTTGAGGTGACTGCACCAACTTTTAATACGAAATTCACAGCAAGTTTACTTTTTTATACCTTTTCCTAACTTGTGTTTTAATAAAACCTTCCAAATCACTTAAGCTGGGCATGAGTTGTACACTGAGGTGCATTTACATGGATTGATTGTTTTTAAGTATTACTTTCTCATCTTCTTAATTGTTATGCTCAGGAGTCTCAGTCTCACCACAAAAATCAAATCAGCAGTACAGTAACTCCCAGATCACCACGTGCAGAATGAACAATGATCAGCTGGGGAACTTGTAAACCTAACAGCAATTTTCACTTTACTGCCCAGCAAAGTGTGATGTGCTGGAACACCCATTTCTGCAGCCAGGCTGCAAGCTCAGGGAACAGCTCCCACTAAAGCTCATTTTCTAGGGGTAGCAACCAGAAACTTCACCTTCTCTCAACTTTGATTTTTTTTTACTGTGCTGATATTTCCATTTTCTAAAATTTACCTCACCTTCAGCACCTGCAAAAGCCATGGTAAAGCCCCACTCAAGGACAAGAGCTTTTAATTTGCATACAAGCAGGAAAGGAATAACTTCCCAAATGAGCACCTGAACCCAAGGAGTTTAAAGGGACAAATCCCAGCCTGGCTAATATTTGAAGTATTAAAAGTTGTCTGCATCTTGAATCTAGGTCTTAGTCACAAAACAGAATTCACTCCTACAACCTCTGTTCTTCAGTTCAGAGAATGAATAATGTTCCCATTAGACAATTTAACCATCTGTTAACATATTCAGCTTTGGAATTAAATCTGAAAAGGCACCTAGGAAATGGTGAAAAGATACCCAAGCTATAAAAGCTGATGTGCAGAAACCAGGACTACACACTCATTTAGGCCTTTCAAGATCTTTACCCATGATGAAGTATACCTGACATTTTGTGAATTATACTTTTGCTAATTTTATTACTAATGTTTGTTTTAGCATAATATTTTTCACACTTTGAGGAGCATTCACGATGCTTTCAGAAAAACCTTGAAATGACTGTTGTAATCCATCTGCTTCCTCCAAAACACTTGAATTGAGCAATACCAATGGTTTTGTTACTATTGTTGTACATTTACATTTGGGCTATATGACACCATATGGAAAAAATCTTGTTTGCCTTGCAGCTGCTTGCTTCACAAGCTCCTTCAATGTGCATTATTCAACGTTTTAAATTAAGGCTCAACCTAGAGCTGAGCATGGAGGGAAGCATGGGCTGCCCAAATGCAGATGGAGAAGTGCTGGCATCCCTGAGTCAGGGCAGGATGGCACCACCTCCCTGAGGGAAGCTGCCAGCTTTGCCCACTTTCTGCACTTTTTCCCCAGGAAAATGACCGTCCACAAATGAGCAATGCTCCAGAAATAAATTTGATAATTCCTCGTGCTAAATAAAGCCCAAGGGTCAGCCAGGCTGGTAAATCATTAACAGCAGAGGGCATCAATCCTTAATCACCTGCTGGGAGATGCCTCAGCACTGCTCCCAAACAGAAGGGAGGGAACAGATGCCAGAGGATGGGGATGATATCAGACACTCCCCTCACAAACGCCAGGGGCTGAGGTTTGTAAAGAATCAAATTAATTCAGAAATTGGAAAAAAAAAATCACTGTAAACAAACAGTCAATTTCATCAGCTTTGCAACTGAAGACAGAAAAGGAGTTGAGGAAAATACCTGAACTTTATATATATATATATATATATATATATAAAATTTGAAGCTCAAAGTGCCATTACTGTTTTGAAAAGTTTGTTTCAGACAAGGTTTTCTAGGTGCTCATTGATAAGTAAGCTTTAAAAACAGAAGAAAATTATAAGCTTTTTCCAAAAGCTGCAGTTTATGTCAGTCTAAGCCAACAAAATCGCTGGGTGTG